AAGTCAGTTCTGGTGACTTTTCTACTCCAAAGTGAATGAAAATAAATGTATTCCAGAAATTAAGTTAACAATATACTGCATCACTACACTAAGAACGTTTCTGTTTCTAAAAGGACATATTTGGGGATTTTTTTTAGCATTTTGTCATGTTTTCAGTGCCCCCATACTGCACAACGAGGATGAGGAAGTGAATTGCTGGTTGGGGTAAACAAGTGAAATCGCGGTGTCTGGAGTCTCTGGACCCTTCCATAACAGGCCATTTACATCAAAGATCTTCTCCTTTAAGTTATCATGGATGGCTGCCATTAAAATAAGGTGCATCTGTGTCCAACTAGCTGAAGGCTACTCACTCCAGTGTCCATGGTTTCTTTCTTTCTTTTTTTCTTTTTTCTTTCTTTCTTTCTGACTGGGTCCCATCCATCACTTGAAAATGGGCTTTTCTGGAAGTCGCTGACGTTCAGATGATAAGCATGCTGATAGGGACCTGTCATTCACACAAGGCAGAGGAAACAGTCAACCTTATGTCCTGCAAGACTTGGAAATGTGAGTAACTCTGTGTTTTCCACCCATTAAATTCTGGTCCTGTTTGAAGAAAATAGGTGAAGTAACGGAAACGGTTTGTTCCATCGCTCTGAGATGATGGTCCGTGTGTGTGTGTGTGTGTGTGTGTGTGTTGACAGACTGTATGAGGTCATTGCATCTGTCATCACTTTCATGTGGCTACACCTATGGCCTGGACTGTAGCAACTCTCCTCTACTCACACCACATACACCCCCACGCCAAGCACCATATTCAAACATAACACAGCTTATCCACTGGCTACATGCTCTCGGCGGTGCTCTTCTCTTGTGTTTTTATCCTCACAAGTAGTAAATGGTTAGTCTGAGTTTGTGCTTTTAAACACAACTTTCAAATGTAAAAACAACATTTCAGTATGTGCACTCTGAGAATGAATACACCCTGAGAGAGTTTCCCTTGTCAATTAAACCAAATATTTTGTCTTTACTGCCTCACATTACCTACAGATGTGTCAGTAAAGCGCGTCTAACTCTGATGGATCAGTCTGCCTGCAGCAGTGTGAATCAAAACATGCCCATGTTTTTCCTCATGTTTTTCCTGTGTGTGAATCCCATGTCTCATATGTTTTTGTTCAGAGACTGTGTGTGAGTGTGTGTGTGTGTGTGTGTGTGCGTGCGTGCGTGTGTGTGTACGCATGCTCGGGAGGAAGTGGAGAGGTTGTGGGGCTAGCAGTGTCTGGCGTGTGAGATCCCTGTGGTGGCGGCCATTTCCCTGTGTTACTAAACAAACAGGATGATAGCTCACTTATCTCGTTGATAACTGTTATTTCAGAACTTATTTCAGACCTTCAGATCATGGGTAAGAGCGGAGTACATCAACCTAAGTCATTCACAGACTGTATGAAATAGTGCACATTTGACCAGCTTCGATCACAGGGACACTCAGCTCATATCAATTTACAAAAGCTCATGTAGACCTACACCAAGGAATCCATTAAGCTTAATTCACCCAAGTGAAGGTGGTAAATCAATTATGCATTACACATTTTTACTGGACAAACCAATTAAATGTATTCAAGTCAGCCAGGTCACCCGTGATACAAGTCAGTATTCGACATCCATCCACACTTTGAATAATGACGTTTGGAACAACTTCTAAATGTTTTATGATTGAGAAACATGGATGAACGTCTAATTCTGACGAGAGACCGTGAGAGCTGGTTGGTGAAAGAATGATACATACACTGCATTCGGAAAGTATTCAGACCCCTTAACTTTTTTCACATTTTGTTACATTACAGCCTTATTCTAAAATGGATAAAATAAAATAAAAAATCCTCATCAATCTACAAACAATACCCCATAATGACAAAGCATAAACTGGTTTTTAGAATTTTTTGCAAATGTATAACAAATAAAAAACAGAAATACCCTTTGCTATGAGACTCGAAATGTATTTGTGCGCCAGTGGATATCCAGGTGCACAAGCACGTAGGCACTGACATAAGTTTGGCTCGAGGCATTGATTGTATTTGACGGGTGTTCTGTGTGTCGATACAACATGTCCAATGTTTTATCTGGCTTCTTTGAGGATGTGGCTGCTGCGCTCTGTTATTCATATTGATACAATCAATTTAAATGTCCACATTTACTCCACAGTTGGCGGTGCGGGACAGAAGAGATTGGGGAGAGGGGGATGGTTTAATTTTCGTGTACGCGGGAAGAGAGCGCTCACCCAAACTGTCACCATTTTAGGCCAGGGGCGCTTGATTCAGGCGATCCTTCTTGTTAAGTGCGTGCGTGAGGGGATGAGGTGATTGAGTTGGCGCCAGAGAGGTCGGGGTTAGGGGACAAGGACTGCACAGGTAGAGCCAGAAAGACTATACACTCTGATATAACCACAGGTGGAAAGAAACTCAACGTACGGATAGAGGACCACATACCACCACGAGACTGTCCTCACAGAATAAAGCAGCAGAACTAAAATATTCAGAAAATAGGCCTTAATAGCCTATTATAGGCTATATGGCTTAATTTATTAGGATAGGCTAATGTAGCCTAAAACACTGGGATTAGTGCACTGTTAGGCCTAGGCTACTTAAAGTGATAAGAAATCAATAGGCTAAATGTCTCTAAAGACAAGTTTTGCCAAACCCCACACCGACACCCGAGCTGCTATTGGAGGTCGCCGCTCAATAATCGAGTTTGATAAAATGCCGCTGCCAGTTTTACTCCTAGTTGGATTGGAAGTGTATGACACGCACGCGCACGCACGCACACACACAGACACACACACACACACACACACACACACACACACACACACACACACACACACACACACACACATACACATACACATACACAGACACACACACACACACACACACACACACACACACACACACACACACACACATACACATACACATACACAGACACACACACCATACACACACACACACACACACTACCCATGGACCCACTGTGCATGAGAACAGCAAATCATTTACACCACCATTTCGATTAATTATAATACGCTTCATCATAGTGCCTATTCAATTGACAGATAGGCAACATTTTCAGAAGAGACACTTGCGTGTGTATATGCTCTAACTCTCTTTCTCAGAAGAATAAAGAAAAGCTTGCAGTCCTCCGTGACTGCATTAGTAGACTATTGCATTTCATTTTAATTATTTACCCCTCCCTGAAAGTCCTCAACGTTCGTTATTAGCCGGGTCCAGATTTTAACGAGTTGGTATACCACACAAGTTTGGGAGCACCGCGAACCATTAAACTTTAATGTCGGTCAATTTGCCAGTGAGAATCTGGAGATCAAATATTAATAATTTTATGCCCTCTGTTAAATAATCAGGTCCCTGAAGCTTTCGAGAGGAGAGAAAATCAATGACCCATATGGTTTCATTTTCATTTAATTGTTTTAAAGGTTGTGTTTTTGTTTGTTGAATTTATACAAATTAATTAGGTCTAGATTAATAACGCATTCCGAAAACTGGCTTTGATAATTTATTGGTCTTTTATTTAGATATGTTACAGGTAGCCAATATTTATTCATTTTAACTTGAATGTTATTGAATACATAATACAAAGCCATTGATCATTAATGACGTATACAGAGTGAATAAGACAGTTGCATTCAAAATACCGAGTTTGTAGTCAAATGGTTTATACTATTTTAATTTTATTTCACGAAATATTTGATAGGCATGCAAGGCGTGTGTGAATAGCCTGAATATGTCTGGGGGTAACTGACACATGCACACTCAGTCAATGGCTAATTAAAAACCATTCGTTTTGTAATGATGCCACTATAGGAAACATAAATAAATAATGGGGTCATTATAGGAGATCATTATAGGAGTTGTGCACGCGATATGCTTATCTTTAATTGGCCTATTTGATCGCTCTTTTTCCCTGAAAGCCTAAAAAACTCCCCCTGCTGTATATGGCATGGATATGTTTGGAAGTATTGGATTTTAATTACATATAGGCTATGCTACTAAGAAATATAGAATCAAGAGATGAACCTACAATTCACAAGTGAATTGAATAACTTTGGAATTACGCATGGGCCTATGCCAGTAATACGTTTTATATAAAGGATGAGCACATTGTAGGTCTGTTTGACATTCATTATGATATGCAGTTAACTAAAGGTTTAGTATGCTATTAATCGATTTACTTCCTCTTAATTTCCTTGTATCAAGACAAAGTTGGCTATTTGTTGATGTTTTTCCCCAATTATAACCGATAGAGTTTTATTGTGCGTAATATTGTTGGGTTGCGTATTTGCTTGACCATGGACGTAGATTTGTTTCCAGTTCAATTGTGTTCCCAAGAAACACGGTCAAATAGAGACCTTTGATTAGGCCTACCTTAAATAAGTTGAACACAGAGGCCTATATCCATTTATTATTTATGATGGATGGATGGACGGAGCTCTCGAAGCACGTTAAACAATTTCACTGCTTGCACGGAGTTGACCACGCACCTATTTAATTGATGTTGTGAAAATGTACTGTACCATGAGGTGAAATAAATAGGCTACAGAATATAAACATTGCCTACTTTCACAAGACTCCGCCTGGTGTTTATGAAGTGTGCCACGAGTCCATAGAGGAGGCGCGCAGCTTTCACTGAATGAGCTTGTGGTCTCTCCGTAGTGTCTTTAGCCAATTGAGCCTCGAGGCCTAAAATTGGGTCTTAATCTCGCTCTGCCTATTTGGCACTTTGATTGATGCTCTCTTACTCCAGCCGGCAAGGCTGCCTGAGCCAAAAAGGAAGAAGAAAAAAACAGACAATCGCTTTTAGTTTAGCCTCACACACATACACTCTCTCACGCACACATGCACCCACACCTATTAGATAACGACTGGAGAGAGCAGAATACGTTTTTAAGCTCCAAGATAAGGCGCACGGCGTGGAGCACCTCTGTAACTCGCGGGGGGCTCGCGGAGGCCATGGATCATATTGAAGCGCATCTCCATCACACTCACGTGGAGCCCATCAGCTTTGGGATCGACCACATCCTCAACAATGTGGATCAGAGCTGCATGCTCGGCGGTAGGATGCCCGAGTCGGACTATGGACTCGGCTGCGTTGTCAGCACTGCCTACAACACCATGACCGGTAACTTCACCGGCAACAACTCTGGATATAACAGCAACGCATATGGGGTAGCCAATCTGAGCGGCACCTATAACATGAACATGGGGATGAACGTCAGTGGGAATAACGTTAACGCGGCTGGAGTCATCCGTGTGCCTGCGCACCGGCCTCTGAACAGTGGACACTCGTCCATCCCCGGTGGTATGTCCACCATGCCAGGCTCGATTAACAACCTGACGGAATTTACCTTCCCCTGGATGGAGAGCAACAGAAGATACACCAAAGACAGGTTCACAGGTAGACCACCGCTAATGCACATAAAATGTGGTTGGTTGTCTGGGAATTAAATAGCAATATGCATGGCGTTGCCATGTTTATCATGAGACAATCCCTGTCATGCTATTTGTTTCTGATGTTTGTCCTTGAATGCACGTAGCCTAGTTATTATGAAGTTGGCATTCTAGTTTGCTAACAGTTTTTATAGACAATTTTAGTTATACAGAGACCCTAATAAGAGCCCTGTCTGATATAAGCTAAACATTGTCTATCAAAGCCTATGTGTCTACAAAAGTATAGGTAATACCACCATCTGTTCTAGCGTCCATGTTTAAATGAAAATATCCTCAAACCAACATTTTAAAAGTTAACTTCAAGCCTACACTCTTAGAAAAAAAGGTTCTGGATCCAAAAGGGGTTCTATGCTTCATATATGGAACCGCTTAAAGTTCTATATAGAACCGAAATTGTTTCCATATAGAACCCTATATGGAACCCAAGGGTTATATAAGGAACCAATTATCAAATCAAAGTTTATTGGTTGTGTACACAGATTTGCATATGTCATCGAAGGTGTAGCCAAATGCTTGTGTTTCTAGCTCCAACAGTGCAGTAATACCTAGCAATAATAATGCAAAAACAATACACAGATTTTGGTTTTGAAGAAGAACTCCTGGGTTTTTGATCAAATAACCCTACAAAAGGTTCTATATAGAACATTTAGGGGTGCCATATATGAAGCAAGCAATAAAACCATTTTTGGTTCTATACAGAACCTTTTTTTCTAAGAGAGTGGGATGGTTTTAATTATTAGTTTTTTTACTAAAGTTTTTTCCTCCCACTTATATCATTCAGGCCTGCACGTATCAGAGTAGACTGTTAACAATAGGATGTTTGGTCTAGGAATTTGACATTTCATATTGAATTCGCACTTCTTTGTGTCAAGTTCCGGCATTTGAACCCTTTAATTTTCCCTGCGAGCTATAGATCTCCCCTCTCAGTCTGACGTTGCTTGAACTTGCTTCGCTGCTATGTTGCTGCTCTCTTTCTGATTTTGCTGCTTGCTTTTGCCCCTATCTATCCGTCTCCCAATCCAGTGGCGCTTTCACCCCTCACTGTAACACGCCGTGTAGGTCACCCGTACCAGAACCGAACGCCCCCTAAGAAGAAAAAGCCCCGGACGTCTTTTACCCGCCTGCAGATCTGCGAGTTGGAGAAACGCTTTCACCGACAGAAGTACCTGGCTTCCGCAGAGCGCGCGGCTTTGGCTAAGGCCCTCAAGATGACTGACGCGCAAGTCAAAACATGGTTCCAGAACAGAAGAACAAAATGGAGGTGAGATTACTGATGATTATCTGTATAGCCTACATTTAACGTAGCCTATAAGGTGTACTCTCCAGCGCGGAATGTCATAGTTTGTTTGTGTGTGTGTGTGTGTGTGTGTGTGTGTGTGTGTGTGTGTGTGTGTGCGCGCTTGCGCGCGCGTGTGTGTGTGTTTTAGCTCTGTTGGTGATTTTATGTATAGCATGGGCTATTTATTTACACTCCAAGAAGGCTACAAACCCAACAAAAATAGCAATAGGCCAACACATTTGGGTGATATTTTACAAATATTAACTCTAATATAATAACGCATAGAAAATGATGTCTTTATGTATTATATGCCATGAATTAATTGTGTGCATTTGATAAAAATATGTACATAAATCCAATGGCCCCACTTCTACGTCTACCCCAGGTCGTAAATAGTATTTTATTATTGACGTTTTCGGTTCTAAACCTTTGCATTCAGTTAATTAATATTGTCTTGCAACAGTCAAGGAAAATACAAAGTGAGTCTTATAATGAGTTACATTCTGTGGCAACTTACTATATCCTATCCCACAAAAGTAGGATAATGATTTCCCTTAGCATATGACTACTCTTGTAAAAGTGAAAAGTTTTTTTCATCTTATGAAATAATGTTATTTCAGACAAAAATAATGTGTTCTAAGGTCTTTATTAAATATATTTTCAGGTGAAACATATCGTGGGTAATAGTGGAAGGCCTATTTGTCCACGTCTTTTACGCATTAATATAGAAGTTATTTTCAGTAGCCTATCTACTGAAGCAGTTAAATACATCTCTGGAGATTGGATTTTAGAAAATTAAAAAATAACAAAACAATCAACGATTAAATATGATGTTATATAGCCTAGCCCTAAGAATAAGTATGAAGTCAATGGGAGAACATAACAGCAAAATCTAAAGAAAGATTTAGGCCATCAGACGAAGACAAATTAATTGCCAAAACTTTATTTATTGCCACATAAGCTATTGTTGGCTGAGAAAAATGTCGAACTTTGTGGGAAATTTGCATTTGGATATCAGCTTTTAGCCAACAGGTTAATAATGCTTAAGCAAGCAATTTAGCCTACAGGCTAATTTTGTCAAACAATGTGTTAAAATCTAGGCTAATCATGCTTGATTAAACGTGTTTAAATTAATCCAGAAGACATTCACTTTGTGTCAAAATGTGATGTAGGCCTCTAGGCCTGTACGTATATGACGCAGCCTGTTTGGATATAATTTCCCTCTGACGCCTCAGTGTCTCTCTTGTGTCTCCGGTGTTCTAGACGCCAGACAGCGGAGGAGAGAGAAACAGAGCGACAGCAGGCCAATCGGATCCTCATGCAACTCCAACAGGAGGCTTTTCAGAAAACGATAAACCAACCGGCAAACCCGGACCCGCTCTGCCTACATAACAGCTCCTTGTTTGCGCTTCAGAACCTCCAGCCGTGGACTGAAAACACCGCCAAAATCAGCAGCGTGTCCGCCTGCGAATAACAAACTCTGACCGCTTTTATTTTCTCTCTTTAAAGTGATTGTAGTAATATAGGGAACAACTTTTTAAGATCATGAAGAGGAGTTGAAAAAATATGACACACGAGGACCAGGATTTATCTGACACTGCCTCGAAAAAAGTTTAGGTTGATAGTGTCAGTGAACTTAAGCCAGGACACGAGCCCAATAGCAACGTGCTTTTTGAGTTTCAGTTTATCTGCCTGTTTTTACGTGAATTCATTTCGGAAGTTTTATTTACAATTTTCAGTAGAACATAATCCAGTCCTAATTATGGACTAAGCCTATAGATAGACCTTGATATAAGTTAATAATAAGTAAGCACTTATTTTAGCACTTTCTCTTACAGGAAAACGTATAGATATTCATACCTGATCATTTGAGGAATAGGCCTAATTCAATAAAAATTTATCGATTCGTAATAATAATAATAATATGCCATTTAGCAGACGCTTTTATCCAAAGCGACTTACAGTCATGTGCGCATACATTTTTAGGTATGGGTGTTCCCGGGGATCGAACCCACTACCCTGGCGTTACAAGCACCATGCTCTACCAATTGAGCTACAGAGGACCGTTCGTGGCATAAATTCAGTAGCCTATCTGTATCTCATAACAATGTTTATATTGCTAACAATGGTTATAAATTAGGTTTTAGCAGTTGGCTAGACGCAACCCCTTTCTCTCTGTGCAGGGAAGAAGCAATGACAATAGGTGACAATTCACCATCTCATCAAGTTTCTCTCTTATAAATGAGTAATTATCTTTGACCTTTTACCATATCACTCAAGCACTTATTAATTTGGATTAAACTTTATTGCAGTCTGCTATTTACCTGGTATTTGCTTAGAAATTAGTTAGCTAAATATTTTCCTAAATAATTATCCGATATTAGTTGTTGATTTTGTCTTTCAAACCACCACCATGGTAGCAATATTAATGTTGCCTTGAGTTTGTTGAAGTGAAAATGTTTTTTTTTGTTTTTCTGGTAGGTAGCCTATCCATTGTTACTATGCAATTTCTTAATAAAAACCAGGTAAACAGCTGAATTATGGCTGTAAAATAAGGTGTTATTTGTTAAATTGTCTTGTACTTTAGGCTATAGTCCTCTAATAATTTAAGTTATGGTGATCCATTTATACATATGGCTATAATTATAAGGCCATATGAAATCTTTTTAAAGACTTAATACAGCAGTGTTGTGCTTTGTGTTTTTGTCATATTTTGTTTTAAACCAATGATCATCATTCATTTTGGAGTACATGGAAGGAACTACATTGCTGTGTCTGGGACAACTGATGGCCAGAACCCTCTTTGACTATAGGAACCATCCCTCATATATCTGCCCTATTAGTCAATACCAGACCTTTATAATGGGTGTTTCCAGCAAGTGATTGATACTGGTTGCTTGATCATGATGAATGTGAATCTACATTATGGAGTATGCGACTCTGTACTTGTGTGTTAGTGTAACACTCATTGCAACTGTAAAGTGTATGTATGTGTGTGTGTGTGTGTGTGTGTGTGTGTGTGTGTGTGTGTGTGTGTGTGATGCTGATCTTATGCAGCTGTAGGACAGTGTGTGTGTGAGAGTTAGTCCAGGGCCTCTCTCCCCATGGTCAAAAAGGAATGTAGGGTAGAATTTCCCCATCTACTCAGAAATATCAGCACTGCAGCGTCACTTAAGTGGCTTTTCCAAAACCCCTAAAATTCCTAAACCAAGCAAGCATGCTGGCTTTCAGTTGTTTCAAAGCCCTCAAGGAAAAAAGGTGGTCATCAATTAAAATAAGTGGATAAGGACAGTGAGTGGCAGATTAGAATGAGGGCTTAAGCAACACCTTGCATTTATTTCGTGTCCTCATCAGTCTTCTCATTTTTATTTTTTGAATCAGTATTCTTATTTGTTTTTTCATTACATTAAAATTATTTAGGCTTGGTTTATGTAATCAAATACATGTTATTGTATTTCGACCAAGTGAGCATTTACTACTTGTTTTCTCTGCCACAATTCCACTTGTCGTAACTACAATCAAACAATATTCGTGACACAGCCACAAATATTCCTCAGTTCTTGTGTTGCTATTATTCCTTTTTGTAACATACTGTGTGAAGTATGGATATTTCCAAACATGTCCTCCGTTTGATCTTATTGGGCTTTGCTTCCCTAATCTGTATTGTTGCAATGCATTCATCACTACACACTCCCAATGAGCATTAACCCTGAGCTACAGCTTAGTCTCCTCTTTACAGTAATGTATAACAGCCACAGTGAGTCACTGAAGGCCATGCATTTTTCATTCACCACCAGGGAAACAAAGCAGCACATCCTGAACAACATTAATTAAGAAGTTGAAACATAATTTGCAATAAACCGATCTGTGTCATGTCCTTCATGAACATTGCTACAATTAATTTGCAATAAATCCTATATATTAATGAATAGGACTGTATGAGACAAATTAGCTACAGTATAATCTCTTGTCTTCTAGACCCAGATGAATCACTGTTCCATGCAAAGCCATAAATCAATGTGTAGCCTATGTCTCTGAATTTGAAATGTATGAATGGAGCAAGGTTATTTTTCATTTCGAACTGCATTTAAAATAAATAGTTAATTGCAGACTTTATCCTGCAATCATTGTTTAATCATCATGACCAGAATAGGGCAATTTGTACGTTACGAATGTGTATTAAATGATTTTGTATTATTTGTAGTATTTGTATTCATGGTTTTATATTTGATAAATGTTTGGCTCTTCTAACCCATTAGTTATCTTGTTTAACATATAAGAAAATACTAAATAATGTCCATAAAAGCATTCCATAGGGCGGCGCACAATTGGCCCAGCGTCGTCCGGGTTTGGCCGGTGTAGGCCGTCATTGTAAAGAATAATTTGTTCTTAACTGACTTGCCTAGTTAAATAAAGGTTAAAACAAATAAAAATAAAAAAATACCAAAGCTGTATCCCAATTTTTAACAAGGATTTATTTTCTCATCTCCTCTGGACCACTGATCGGTGGATTGATAGGTTACCATACTTCTTCCACACTTCACTGTTTTTAGTGATACAGGATCCAAGGAATGCAAGAGAACCCATGAGAAACATCAATCTGTGTGTGTCACAAATAGCCATGCCAATGAAAATAGACTTTTTCAGACATGCACACATGCATACACTTTTTAAGGAGAAGAACATAGACCCATGCATTTTCCCACAGACATTCATAATGATGTTATCTCACGTTCTGCATCCAGAAGACATGATGATGAAAGCACTTACACAGGGACATACCGGTGGTGGTAGGTTGTGTTGTGTCCAAGGCTGCATCTGATCCCAATGCCTGACTGACGGTCAATGCTATACGGGATCCTTAGGACACCCCAACTCTGACGTTACCTCCCATTGATGTTGACATTTAAAATGGTTAAAGTTAGAGTTAGGTAAGGGTTAGGGTAAGAGTAGAGGTTAAGGTTAGGGTTTAGGATAGGGACGTCCCAAGGATCCCAAAATTGCACTGCACCCTGATTGACTCAAACCCTTTACTTTGGCTCGCCCTGGTGGCCATACGTAGTTAATGCAGGGTTCATTTTGTCGCAATATGATGACGTTACAGACGTAATTAAAGCTTGCCAAAACACCATACAATTGTGTAAATGACTGTTTGACCTTTCTTAACAAGCCAGTGTATCTAGCTAACGGCAAGCAATATGTCTCTCCTACGCGTATGTGCTTCTACATCGATACGCCATGTGACCCAAGGGTTAGTCGTGGAGTCTGCTTTTACAGGTGCGTGTCTTAACTCGAAGTGTCGTTTCTCAAAGCCTAACCGCAATGTGCGCATGCTTGCTAGCTAGTAAACTAAACAACATCAAAATCGACGTTTATTTGTCACGTGCAAAATATACAGCAGGCGTAATTAGGACAGTGAAACGCTTATTTGCAAGCTCTTCCTAAGAAATGTAGTAATACTAGCCTAAGTCATATAAAATAAATACACACGATAAATAAGAAAAGTAGACGAGAATGAAATAAATACACAGGAAAACTGGGAAGTGGTAAGAACGACATGATTGTGTTGAGTGGTTTTGAAGTGGGAGCAATTTTTTAACCAATAAGGTTTTTAGCTAGCTTGATAATAAGTAAGCTTGCTAATAATACAATTGGCTAGCTTGCTTAAAGCTGCAATATGTCACTTATTTGGGCGACCTGACCAAACTTGCATAGAAATGTGATTTATAGATCTGTCATTCTAATTGAAAGAAAGTCTAAGAAGCGGTAGATCTGTTCTATGTGCGCTATTTCTATGCTTCCCGTTAAGTTATTTTTTTTTTCATCTTTTACTTTAGGATTTGTACACCAGCTGAAAATACAATTTCTTTGTTTATGGAAAATATATTTCACAGCGGTATAGATGGTACAACAGAGCTGCCAACTCTCACGCATTGGCCGTGAGACTACTACTACTACTACTTCTTCTTCGGTGAGGTTTAACGGTGGTTGGAATCCAGTAAATGTTGCATTACCACCAGCTAGCAGACTGGAGTATAACTCCCTATACTTAGCTCTAAAAAAAATGAAAAAAATACCCTACCATCTAATACTACAATCACAAAAAATAAATAATGATATTCAAATCTACCATACTCCACTATTTAAATCTATTTATTCCCACTTCAGGCCTACAGCCTGAAGGGATGGGACACCACCACTTAACACACCCTGTAACTCTTCTGATGTCAAGTCTCGCACACCCAAATACCTCTCTGCAGCTGCCACCACATCCTCTATTTTCTGCGATTTAGGTTCCATCCCTCAGTACAGTTGATAACCATTGCTATAAATGCCAAAAATCCAATCTTACTGAAACATCACTTGTTGGTGTATCCCTCTGTACTGGTACAGATCTACTACTCACACCATTCCTCTCAGGATCCCTCCCCCTTGACCCATATTCCTCTACTTTCTTCACTGCCTCAGCATATG